TGCACTTTTCTCTCTGCCCTTCCCTCCCCTCAATTCACTCTTCTCTTTGAAAAGTAAAAGAAAAATTCTTTCATTGTTTTACAATCCCTCCCCCCAGGTCCACTCCACTATCCAGCCATCGTTCTGGACTCCTGTCATGACAATAATAGCTCATCACATATCCCTTTTAAACAGTTCTCTACCTCATCTGTTTCAATGCAGTATACTGGCTGCTCTTTAGTTAAGAAGTAGAGAAGGCATTATAAATCTCTGAGGAACACCACTAGAATGTTTCACTTCAAAGGTTCAGATAGGATCATGTCCTAATATTTCCAACTCTGATAAAAACCATGTGGGACAAAAAAAAAAAGGAGACCTTTTTAAAATGTCAAGAGAAATGGAAGCTTGAGGTATACAAGCTCACCACCACAATTATGGTCTTTTACCACCACAATTAGGAAGAAAGCAAACACTACTAGAAGTTTCAAACTCAGAACAAAAATAAAGTTAGTCAATGGTGCAACACTCATTAAATATAAATCCAAAATCATTAACTGTTTGAAATTCATTATTAAAACACTATAAAAGAAAAAAATATATAAAAGAAGACCACAAATATAAAACTATAAAAGAAGACCACAATTTGTGGATTTTTTAATTTTAATGAACATTTACAGAGATTTTGGGTTTCTGCCTTGCATGCGGACTTCCGAGCTATAAAACAACCCAGTGGTAGATGGAATTTGGTCCAGGACTTAAGAACAATAAATGACATACTTGAGCCTCTACATCTTGTGGTTCCTAACCTTTATACTATAATAAACAAAGTGCTAGTCAATAGGCCTTTTATTGTAAGAAATTCCCTCTGTAACTTGATTTGTGTCACTGTTAGAACCTCTACTTGGAATATTATTGCTTTTAATTTTTGACTCATGTACTTTTAACATGTTAGTTAAATTTGTGTCTTCTAGGCTGCAACACTTCCATGATGCATCTTCAAGGATATGAACATGTACGGCTAAGCACAACTGATAACAGTGCATCTAAATTCCAAAATCAATCTCCACAATAGTCTACGTGTTTCCTATTGCCAAAGGGGCCCTTTAAAGTAGTGAGAGAAGATCTTCACCCTGAAACCTGCACCGTTCCTTTTCAGCAGGAAGTAGCTAAGAAAATACGCTGTCCCCTTCTCCTTATCAATCAGGGTGAAATATCTCAGGGAGGAGTGATAGGGAATGGCAAAGGACACACTGACAAAGGAGATTAATCAGAACTGGTTTTGACAAGCACTGTGGCAATGGGACAATTAAAACAGACTTTCAAAGGAAAAAAAAGAGAGGAATGAACTGGGGTGGGTAGGTAGAGAAAATAGTACAACAATGAATGAATGGAAATCCAGAAGACCACAATCTGATGGCAGTGTATTTTGGTTTTCTGAAGTGTACTTTTGAAGACTGTTAAATGATATACAGTTGCTGCAATGAAACACAAATTTTTATATTTTTGAAGACTTAAATAACAAATGGTTTATTATCTAAATATTTACCATAATTACTGGGTGAGCCAAACGACTGTGAATTGTATTCAAATGTGTTCAAAAAACTAAGATCATGCACACTCATGTTTATTTGCTGCTTTGTTTACAACAGCAAAGACTTGGAAACAATCCAAGTGCCCAACAACAAATGAATGGATAGAGAAGCTCTGGTATATTCACACAATGGAATACTACACTGCATTAAAAAACAAGGAACTCATGAAATATTATACAAAATGGGTGACCCTGGAGGACATTATGCTGAGCAAAATATCTCAGTCACAAAAGGACAAATACTGCATAGGGTCACTGCTATAAAGGGGGACTGACATCAGGGTTGGGGGAAAACTAAGAGGGGATAAATAATATACACTGCATTGAAACAGCTGAGGGAGAGAACTGTTTAAGAGGAATATATGATTAGGTATTATCATCATGACAAGAGTCCAGAATGAAAGCTGTATAGTGGAGTGGACTAGGGGCGGCGGGGGGAGGGGGAGATTGTATAAGAATGAAAGAATTTATTTTTTTTACTTTTCAAAGAGAAAAGCGAACTGCAGAGGAATGGTGGGCAGGGAGGAAAGTGTGCAACAATGAATGAATGGAAATCCAAAGTCTCTGTAAATTTTCATTAAAATTAAAAAAAGAAACTAAGACAATTTAATGTCAGTATGTAATATTTTAAGGCCAGTTTTGAAGTTGGTCTATTTAACTGCAGAGAAAAGCTACTGATGTAGAAGACAGTTATAGCTCCACTGGGGGAGAGCAAGGTGAGGCTAAGTGTAGGAGTGTGAGCTGAAGGGAAGGACTGGCATGGCACGTTTGTTTACCCTCTCCACTCGGAGCAGGGAACAGGCAGCCATTCCTAGATACAGCAGCAGAGGCCAGCATGGTGCAGGGCTCTGTCCAGTGAATGGAATGAAGGGATGAGACACAGTCCAACCTTGGCAGGCTGTGATCTCGTTGAGTAGCTGAAGGCTTACTAGAGGGCAGCTCAATCACAGAAGTGGGGGGGGGTGTCTGCTTATCAAGGAAGAGAATCTTCAAGGGTTTTTATGGTTGTCCCAACTCCAAGAACAGGCACATGACAGAGGCATTTTAAGGCCTGTGGGGATATATGTTTTACATTTTGACAAGGAGTTTTCTCGGAGAGGTGGGATTTGCCGTGAGTTGGGTCTTACTATGTTAAGACTGACTGAAGGTCACAAAAAACTACCATAAACAAAGCTGCTTGTACTTCTTTTAATTTTTTTAAAATCTTCTTTCACATTTCTCAATATCCTCTTGAGATGTGCACTTAGTTATCAGTATCACCATAAAAAGAACCGCCTGCATTAGGAGGCTTCTGGTTTCCTCATTTCCTGTTATTTATACTGAGCCTAACTTCCCTCAAAGACGAGATGAGAGTGACTTTAACACTATTAATCAAATTAAGGAAAGCTTGCAAGGGCACCCTGTGAGAAACAGAGTTCTGTCAGAAGGCACCATGGGTAGGACTGCATTTGAAAACATGACCGACATGTTTAAAGACCTTGAGTAAACAAGCAAGGGGAAGTATCTACCATTGGTTCTTCCTGCTGAAAAAGGAGGATTCCACAGGTTAATATATTACATTTAAATGGCAAATATACAGGGATCTGTGTATTGGTTTTTGCAGTTCCCCCTAAGTATGAAATATTTCAAAAAGAAAATTTGTTTACATGAAAAGAAAAAATGCACTCCAAGTGAGAACTGAGGCACAGAGACTTGCACACCAATGTTCACAGCAGCGTTAATCATCATAGCAAGAACATGGAAAGAGCCCAAATGCCCAACCACAATGGAATGGATTGAGAAATTACCATACATTCACATGAAGGAATACTATGCACACGCAGGGGCAATTTTGTAAAGTACTACCTAAAATGGGAGGGACTAGAGAGCATTATGCTAAGTGAACTCAGTCTCATAAAGACAGATACTGTATAAAACCATTATTGCAGAGCATGTACAAGGATCCATGGGGTGGGGAACTGCTTAATCACTGAGTCACACAATTTGATGGGTGGAGGGAAGGGTAGGTAAAGGAAAGAAGAAAGATCTGGTGTGAAAAACAATGTATATGAACTTTAAGTAAGCTGGCATAAAAAATTTTTTAAAAAATGCTCTCTAAAAGTGTGACACTTAACATTTATGAAACAGCAAGTCAGTGCTTAATGTCACAAGGAGGTGTGATTACGGGCCTGCTGTCTGAGTACTAGGTCAATGTTCTCAGTAGAAAAGATAAGCCTACCGTCAAAGTAGTGAAAGGCAGATCCTCCAGGGGAGCTGGGAGCAGGCAAGCCACGTTCTGGGCTGACCTGAAACAGGCAAGCAGTTACATATCAGAAAGACTGGGCACACCTCAACCACACAGCCCAAACACAGGTCCTCTGAGCTGGCCCTGTGTTTATCCACTGTCTTCTGCTTCAAACCCACTGGGCAGGCCCTCAACTGATGGCAAGTCTACATACAAATGGATCAGTTTGTGTGACCACAGGGCTTTCACTGGCTGCTGCTTGGACACAAATCACCAAAACCTTCCTAGTCCATCAGCAGCACTTACTGGGCACAGAGCAACATGCACACCTCCACTGACAGATGGAGATGAACCTATCTACATCACTAGTATGAGGCCAGGAATCCAGCATGAAAGGCAAGCACTTGACCAGTGAGCCACCACTGCACACTCCCTGCCATATCCCATCTCACTAAATTCTTCACAGGGACCCTGTGTTTTATACTTGATCACTTAGCTGAACTGCTCTAGTTCTTCACTTTTTATTCTTTCTCCATAAAAATGATATACTTTCAGGACACCATTATCTTCTACCAAGAACTGAAAGTGGTTCTCAACAGCCATGACACAAATATTTCATGGCAAGGACACGGACAAGGCAAGTCTTGGTTCTAAAAAGGATTTCAGCAAGAATCACTCAAAGCTTCCCCTTAATTCTCAACAACCAAGTAGTAGTTTGTTTTACTCATGTGAGCACTAAATAAGCCTTTCCCCTCCACTCATCTTTCAGGCTTCTGTCTCACCTGAGAAATGCTGGACACGCTGCTGGTCTTCCTCTTCAGGGTACCCTCCTGGCAGACAGTCAGCAAGTTGCTGGGGAGGATGGAGCGAAAGTCGTTGAAGGAACGCCTCCGGACACCTTCGAGCTCTTCAGGGACTCGGAGAGAGTGTGGAGGGACTTTGGGGAAGAGCCTGGATAGGAGAGACTCTTCCGTATTGCTATAGCGCCCAAATGCACGGGAGATTCCGATCAGGCAGGGCACAGCGTTTTTGCACAGGTATTCTGCAAGCCAAAGTGAGAAGGTAACCCTAGGTGAACCTCACCTGGGATGGAGCTATACAAGGTGTAATCCTACTGACAAGTGACAACTCATACAGTCACAGATCTGAAGGTCCACAGTAAGCCTATGGCAGACACCCAACATTTGCAAAGTGTCACTGATGACAGTAACATCAACACATGCTCTCTCGACCTGATTCATGCTTAACACAAATGGAGTGGTCATATTAGGATATTTTTGTACTTAAGACAGTATCCTAACACCTCGCAGTCATACTCTAGAGGAAAAATGGCATTTGGAGCCTAAAAAATCTACACAGAAACTTGAAAGGTAAAGAAACAGCCTCAGGGTGATTTACTTCTCTGAGCTCTCCCAGTATTATGGGACAACTATGCACCAGACCTTCATGGTACACTGATAAATAACACGTGGAAATCAACACAGGAATGTTTATATCTGTCAGGTACATGCCAGATATCAAAGGGGTAAAAGAAGACCGAGGAGAAAAAAGGAATAAAGAGGCTATGAAATGATTTTGGAGAGAAAAAAGAAATACCTATAATCATACCTTTTTCTTGAATCTCCAAGGTCTGGCACATTCCCAAAAGGACATGTAAAACTTGCAAAAGTGCCTCTAAAATCTGTGGCAGAAAGAAACATTGGGGAGAGGGGGTGAGGAGGGGGGGAAAAGCTTATAATCAAAACCAGATAAGCATCACAGATTAATTTGGGCTTAAAGCCTCTTTTAACATTATCTCACTCAATTTCTCGACATGACACTCACACATTTTCTTTGCAGCCAGCTGACCTCCCAGGGCTGTCCGCTCTGCCTCTGAAGTGAGACAGTTTCCACCAAACATCAGGACGATACCATTCTACTGGGTCTGCACCAACTGCCTCCTGGAGCCACATACAAGTCTCTGTCTTTGTCTACAAATAAGATGTAGGTCCTCAATTCTTCTTTTCATTGCTAGGTACCTCCACTTCTTTCACTCATTCCTCATGGGTCTAAATTTCTCATGATACCAACGACCTGCATCTGATTTCACTGGAGCCCAGTCTGTTTACTCCTATCTCCAAGTGAGGTGCTCAGAGCAATGTCTAAGGGTTCCTGGGTTGCTGTGACTCATTAGAGCAACCATCAAACTCCTTCCAGACTCAAGACTCACATTTGTGTGGCATTAATTGTCTGGAGGCCCCGCGCTGCCTTAGTTGAGCTCACAGAGTAGTAAAATACACTCTGTTTTACAAATGCTGTTCTAGTGATCGCTTTTGCCCCACTTGTCAATGTTGTTGTTGTGAGGGGTCATCAAGGTGAGCAGTGTATGCCAACCTTGTGAACAACAGACCTGAACCTTGTCCTATCCTGCGCCAGCCCCACAATCTAGGACACATTCTAGCTCATTGCTGCAGTCTCTGTGTCAATCCATGTAGTTGAGGGACTTCCTCTCTTTCACTGACCCTCCACCTTTCTAAGCATGATGTGCCTCTCTAAGGAACAGCTTCTCATGGCAACATGCCTAAAGTACATGAAGTGAAGCCTGTCTCCAAGGAACACTTTGGCTGCATTTTCTCCAAGACTTATTTGTTCTTTTGGCAATTTACAGGATATTCAGTATTCCTCTTTAACGCCACAGTTCAAAGGCATCAATTCTTCTTTTGTCATCCTTAATCACTGTTCAGCTCTCAGATGAACAGCATGCGACGGAAAAGATCATGGCCTGAGTCAGGTGCACCTTAGTCCTCAAAATTACACAATAATTGCACTTTTTGATAAGCTCAATGTAAGCTCTCCAAATGGGCTTTTTGATTGTACCAGTCTTTGATGCTCAGCTTTCATCTTCCACTAGTAGGATTTGCATGCACAGCAGAGGTCAGTCTATGACAACAGTAAAAGGAGATCATCAAAGCCCTCCACTGAGTTGACATCAAGTTGACACACAAGGCATCCCTGGAGTGGACCTTCAATACTTCCCAAAGCTCCGTGAATCATTTTAGTTCTCAGAGCCCATATTACTGACCACAGCTATCAGAACGTGCAGTTGTCTAAAGCCTGCATGAGAGTCAATGTGACTACTTGCTGTGGGAAGCCAAGTGTTAAACCAAATGCTTAATTAGGAACTAAGTGAGGCACAGAACAAGCCAGTATTCCTCCTGTGACAGATCACAAGGAGTAAGGTGGTATTTCTCCTGTGAGATCACAGGAATAAGGCACTCCTGGCAGACTAGGATGCACCATGCCACAAGAGCTTGTGCTTATAAATAATTTTGTTCCTGAGATAAGAAAAGAATGTCAGCAGAGAAAAATGCAGCTTCATTATTAAAGAATTTTCTCTGTGATTTACTTCCTGGCAATTCTCAATAAAGGCTGAAGAGATTCAAGGCTCAGAGCTGCAGTCACCCCCTGCTTTTCTCTTCTTTCCCCCTCATTTTTTAGTGTTCCCATCTCTCTTTCTTTGTTCCGGTCAACAACACTAGCTGTACCATTTCCCTCACTCAGAAAACCTAGGGGGACAGAAGGAAGTTGTTAGTCTGGTACGATTTCTTTTTAACCAAGTCAAAGTTCTCACATTTTGCTAATGTTAGACAGTGATGCACACTGCAAGAGAGGGAAGCCTCTTACAATAAACATGGGCCCGGTGAACTCTGGTGGCCTAGTGGCAAGAAGCTGCACTGCAATCCCAGAGGTGAGAGGTTTGAATCCACCAGATGCTCTGCTGGAGAAGGAGGAACAATCTCCTCCTGTACCAGTTAGATCCAATTTGATAGTACACACGAAAAAATAATGATAATAATGACAATTAAAAAAAAATTTAAAAAATAAACAAACAAAAAAAACATACGTGCCCTCAGTCCTGGTTCCTGAATGGAGGATCACATCTGGGGGCAATGGGGACAGGCCAATCAATCAAGAGTCAACCTTAGGACCTGCTGCTTCATGAGGCATGATGTCATCAATATGGCCACAAGGAGAGGCTAATCAAGGACTTGAAGATAGGCTCAGTGGAGTTTCTGGGGTAAAGAGAGCCCCTATTTGCTCTCAGAGGACCCCATCTCAGACCTCACTCATTGTCTTTTTACCCTGCTACATTAAAGCCAGCCTTTTGTCTGGAGTTTACGAATGACTGCATCAGATTATCAGATCTGAGACACAGAAGGGGGTCAGTGTCTGATGACCTGGCTCCAGATGCAGAAAGAGTCAATATCTACAGACCTTCCTCTGGAGGTGGAGCAGGAAGAGAGAAGAGGTGCTGATGCCTGCGGAAAGACTCTGGGTGGAGGATGGGAGTGGACTGGTAGCCACTGACATGGCATTGGGTGAGTGGAGATGAGAGAGAAAAGCCAAACTGGCAGCTAGGGCTTGAAGTGACCAGAGAAAGGAGTTTGAGATGTTCACAGGACACTGCTGGGGTTTGGCGGCATTGTCATCATCACACACTGGGTGCTGAAGTGGATGGTTTCCACTCCCCTGAATGGGTGTGAGACAACTGGTGACTTTAATGGACCTGTTGGAGGTGATTTTGACTTATTAAGTCACCTTGACCTATGAAGTCCCGAAAAGCAATACTTTCTCTATTTCATACATTAATACTGTCATCACCTTCAATGTTATATTTTGATACATTTTACAGAAAGGTCCTTAACTTAGAGACTGTTAATTTTTTAAAATAATAATAATATACAATTTAAACAGTGCTCTCTCTTTAGCATCATCTGTTTTGAAAAGATGGATACATAAAACTCAGTTATTAAAATTTCCCACAAAATGAAAAACTAAACAAGCTTGGGCACTTAAAGGTGCAAGCTTTAGCTATCTAGAATACTGCCTTCTGTGATCAAATCTATTCTACATCTTAGATTTAGAAAAAGAAACTCCTCCTGCATTTTGCTGACTACCACCCCGGGTCATCAGAAAAAAATGAAAACTCAATGCATTCGAGTCAGAACTGACTCATAGCAGACTATCCAGTGGATGTTTAAGGCTGTAAATTGTATGGGACAACAATGTTTTTCTTTCTTCTGAAGAGATGTTGTTGTGTCTCATAATGTGGGAAACCACTCATGGCTGATCCTCCAGCATGTTTTCAAAGGTGGTTTAATTGTGGAGCAGTTGTTGGATTCAAACTGCATGTCATTGGGAACGCAGCACAGTTTCTCCCAATAGAGATGTTGGTGGATTCATATCACCAGAGAGGTGCCACCTTTGAGTTAATAGCACAATTCCCTATGGTCTCTTTTACTAGAGCACCCCTACTGGGAAAGTAATTTTAAATCATATTCAGGAAGTCAATCAAGAAGAGGAAAAGCAGTGTATATATCAAATGTTTCTTAGATCTACTATAAATAATATGGAAAAAATAGACATGAGCAAACAAGTTGGATCACATTCATTTTTTTTCTATTTTTAGCCACTTGGCACTCTTCACTCTTAACAGTGATACCCGCTCCAGCACACCCTCCTCACCTCATCTCTGAGGGAAGGGTCCCTATACGCCACATCAGACAGCAGAGTCACCAAGCAGAAGCTGAAGTTCTCGGCAATCGGGAGGGTACCTGGAAGACAAAAATGAATCCAGAGAGCAGATCATTAGACACGAGATGCTGGCCAGGGCTGCCAGTCACCTAATTTAGTATTTCTCCTCTGATGCAGACTGCAAAGAGACCAAGCTGTCATGGTGGCATTCAACTAACATACTGTTGTTGTTGTCTTCGAGTCGAGCATGACTCATAGCGACCCTATGAACAAAAGGCTTGAATCTAAGCCTAATATATATACACATATGTGTGTGTTGTTGAGTACCATCAAGTCAGAACCGACCCACAGCTGACCCTCCAGCAGGTTTTCAGAGGCTGTTAATCACATGAAAGGAGACTGCCTGTCCTTCTCCCGCAGAACTGCTGGTTAATTTGAACCAAGTGCCTTCAGGATTGCAGTGCAGTTTTTCACCATTAGGCCGCCAGAGCTCACTTATATGTTGTCATTATGTGCCACTGAGACACTAACTCATAGCAATCCTATGTACAACAGCCCTGAACCCTCCTCTAGCCTGTGCCAACCTTACTGTCTTGACACACCTATCCCCACCACCCCAGTCACTGAGTCAATCCATCTCATCTAATGTCTTCCTCTTGTACTGTCCTTCCACCCTCTCAAGCATGATGTTCCTTTCCAAGGACTGGTCCCTCTTTGCAACATGGCCACAGTATGTCAGATGAAGCTTCAGAATCTTTGCCTCCAAGGAATAGCCTAGTTTCACCCACTCCAGGATGAACCTCTTTGTTCTCCTAGCAGTCGATGGTATATTAAATACTCTTCTCCAGCACCACAGTCCAAAGGCATTAATTCTCTTTTTATCATCCCTCTTCATTGTCCAGCTTTCTGACAAACAGCAAGTAATTGTGAAGCTTAGGGCCTGGATCAGGCGCAATTTAATCTCCAGATTGATGTAGTTTGCTCTTCGGTACGCTGGAGAGGTCCCTGAAAGCAGACTTTCTCAACACAATTAGTGTTCTGATTTCCAGGCTGCTGGTGCCAAGAGTACTGATTGTGGAGCCAAGCACACTAAAGCTGTTAACAATCTCAATCTCTCTTTTTTTTTAAATTTCAGACACACTTTGCTATAATTAATACTTGCTAGAAAATGAAGTTTGACATTATTTACAATTATAACACCATTCTTGGAGACTGAATATCACAGGCATAAAGGTGTGCCACATGATTACAAGAAAACCTTTCATTCTTCACAGTTCTATATTTTAGCTACTATGCCCACAGCAAATTGTTCTTAACAAGTAGAATTTTAAGGTCCATTCAATCCGAGAGTTTCTTAGGTCTTTGAGTCTATTCATTTGCAAGTAGGAGTGGAAACTTGAACCAGGGTCTTCATATTATGCCTTCTCATGTGATGCCAAATCATTATATGCCATCCAATTTCTTTAAGTTAAAAGGAGTGACTCGCAGCAGAGCCACACAGATGAGAAAGTTGCGTATGGAAGAGATCACATCTTCGCGCATCTTCCGTTTCATTTCCTCCGGGTCTAGCTTCGGCGTGAGGCCCTCGATCCGGAACATCGTAGTCCTATCTCTCTGCGACCAGGTGGGCTCCTTCCCAAACTCAATCTCTTCACCATCTATCATTATGTTGTCAACTGGCCCAGTGGCGAAAACCTTTGTTTTCTTGATGTTGAGCTTCAATCCGTATTTAAAGCTATAGTTCTTGATGTTCTGCACCAAGTGCTTTAGATCCTCTTCAGTTTCAGCAAGCAGGGTTGTATGCACATACACATGAACAATGTTGAGTACCATCGAGTTGCAACAGACCTATAGCTGATCTTACAGCAGGTTTTCAGAGGCTGTTAACTGTAAGAGAGGAGATTACTCATTCTTCTTCTGTGGAGCTTGCTGGTGGATTTAACCGCATGCCTTTGGGATTGCAGTGCAGTTTCTTACCACTAGGCCACCAGAGCTTATATTTATATACAAACAGACACACACACACACTCCCCTCAGAAATACCCACATTTGGTTTTTAAATGTTTTCACTTTCATAATCTTAAATGTTTTCTAAGATATTTTATAGCTTAAGATTGCAGAGACTATCTACATAGCACAGTTTATTGCAGTATATTGTATGTGGTCTAGAGTTGGAACCGATCCAAAGCTGACCCTCGAGAAGGTTTTCAGATAGTAAATCACACAGGAGGAGACCATCCAACTTTCTCCTGCAGATGGATTCGAATCACATACCTTCCGGTTTGCAGCATAGCTTCTTACCTCTAGGTCACCAGAGTTCCTGTCAACAGGAATTTGTCAAGCTACATCTTTAAGGTGAAGAAAGTCCTATTAATATTTTTCATTTCTGCTCTATTTTAGCAAATGGAGAAAATTATGGAAGAACTTTAAGAAATTCTGTTCTAGTTGCCAGAAGTCCTTCCCTACTTTAGCTTCTGACAGGGTGGTTCTCAGGAGCACATTCTTCAGGATTGTGAGGGGATTCTAGCCCCCAAAGACCAAAAGCTAATGAGCATATCTATCAAATGCTCTTGCAATGTTTTAGAACCTTCACTTGCCATCTAAGTCCAATCATTATGAAATATTTAATCAATTTTGAATACTGAATACTGAATCAAGGTTCACTATTTTATAAATGCTAGTTAATGAACAAACACTGTGACACTGATGTGTCAAATGCTATAATGGTTACCCATGGTGGACAGTGTTTGGTAGAGCTCCCAGATTATAACAGGCTTGCAAGCAGGAGTGGCATCCACTTCCAAAACAGCTTGCCTCTGGAAACTCTCTAAACTTAAGAGAAATGATGAAAGTTATACAAGTGTTCAGGTCTTTCATTCACAGGGTTGCTATGAGTTGTCTACTACTCTATGGCACTTAACAACAACAACTACTTGTGGAAGACTGCTACATTTTTATTCTAGGCACTTAATTTTATCATGCAACACTTGGTCACTTTAGCTCTCTCAAGCTTCAGTACACATCTGAAACACCTGGAGGCAAGGCCCAGACTGTCTGCTTCTTACCCAAGATCCTAATGTTCTGATAATTCCCCAGGTGCTACTAATGTTGCTAGTCTAGGTATTATACTTTGAGAACTGTCACACTCTTGGTATCAGTAGTCAGGAGATCAGGAGACATACTCCACTGGGAAAGTCTGCAATTCAGGGACCTCTCCAAATTACTGAGGAGCAATGAGGACTAGGGTGCACTTAAATAAGGCTTTTCAATCATTTGCTATGCACCTGAGAACTGGGCAATGAGTGAGGATGACAGAAGAACTGACGCTTTTGTGCTGTGGTGCTGGAGAAGAATATTAAATATCCCATGGACTGACTGTCAAAAGAACAGATATGTCTTGGAGAAGGTGAAGCCAAAGCATTCCTTGGAGGTAAAGAGGATGAAGCTTCATCTCATGCACTTTGGGCATGTTGCTAGGAGAGGCTAGTCCTTGGAGAAGGACATCATGCTTGGAAAGGTAGAGGGTCAGCAAAAGATAGTGCTCAGCAGGGACATAAAACCATGGATGCTTTTTATTGCTTAATAATAAAAGGACTTAATTAAAATAAAAGGATTTCTTTATAAGAACCAACTCCTGGTATAGTCAAAGGTGGACACAGACCTGAAAAGGGCCAGACCACCCAGTTTCTTGGATCTTGAACCTAGAAGTTGGAGGTCTTCCAAGCTGATTTTGTAGTTTCTGGAAATTAGTATAAAAAAGCATCAGTACTGTAAGGGTTTTAAGCAAGTACTCGGTATATAGTTATCGTTGCTGAATACCATCAAGTTAGAACTGACCCACAGCTGCCCATCCAGCAGGTTTTAAGAGGCAGTTAATCACTTAGAAGGAGACTGTCAACTAAATATTTTTAAAGGAAAGAAAGGAGAAGTAGTGGGTAATGGGAAGGAAAGGGGGAGAGAGGAACAGACTATTTTAACTTTTCCTTTGACTTTAAAAAGAAATCAAATAATAATGTGAAGAATGTAACCAATGTTCCTTAATTACTAGACACGTGGAAACAACTGAATGGTATATGTTCTGCTATATATATATTTTCATAAAAGGAAACTTTCCTAAAACAACCAATTTTGATCAATTTTTGTCCTACTTTTTCATTCTGTTGCTTACATTTTTGGCATATCTAAGAATACTTGCGAAAGAATGATGGGCAATCTCCTCCCATGTGAATAACTGTCTCTGAAAACCCAGAGGGGCAGCTATGGGATAGTTCAGACTCGATGGTACACAAGAATACTACTACTTACTCAAATTCAAAGTAACATATATTTACTGTACATTTTCTTTTAAGAGTTTTATAGCTTCAGCTCTCATATTTACATTTTTGATCCATTTTAAAGTTAATTTTTGTATAGGATAAGAGATGGAGTCCCCTTTTTGAGTAGTGAGAGAAGATCTTCACCCTGAAACCTACAGCATCCCTTTTCAGCAGGAAGTAGCTAAGAAAATATGCCGTCCCCTTTTCCTTATGAATCAGGGTGAAGTCTCTCTCAGGGAGGAGTGATAGGGAATGGCAAAGGACACACTGACAAAGGAGATTAATCAGAACTGGCTTTGACCAGCACTGTGGCAACTGGACAATTAAAACGGACTTTCAAGGGGGGGGGAGGGGAATGAACTGGGGAGGAGGGTAGAGCAAATAGTGCAACAATGAATGAATGGAAACCCAAAATCTCTGTAAATGTTCATTAAAATGAATAAAATTTAACTAAAAAAATTTTTTTTAAAAAGAGAGAGATGGATGGAGTCCAATATTTCATTCTTATGCATGTGGCAATCCAGTTTCCTGGAATCTTGTTCAGAAAACCCTTCTTTCCTTCTCTGTTGGGTGGTCCTGGCATCACTGTTGGAAATGAACTAATTATAGAAATAACAGGTTTCATTCTCAACTGTCATGTTTACCTCCTGATCTATCTGCCTATCCTTATACCAGTACCACCCAGCCTTAATTACTACTGGCATGCAGTAAGTTTGGGAATCAAGAAGTAGGAGTTCTCCCATGTTCTTTGGCAAGATGATTTC